ATGGATGCAAGGATTAATAATAGAAAAAGTTGTAAAATTGTATTGGCCTGATTACAGAGTAAATGAAGGATGATTTAGATTACGAGCTCTTGTCCAGCGTCTTAAAGAATTACCTTTGTCTGAAATAGATTAATAATAGAGAACACGCGTAATGAATTTAAAGTGAATGTGAAAATATAGAATATATAGCGCTAGAGTGCAAGAAAGGGGAATGATTGTAGATTATGGAGAAAAAAGACGAGTAGTAAAAAGACATGATTGGAGTAATGAGAATAGAAAGATGAAAATATGAGATTAAAAATATTTTTAAGCGCAAGCCGGGTGATGGTATTTTTTAATCGCCATTGTTACTCACTAATCATAATGACTTACTAACTACATCCAACCTCGGTAACACTTATTTCATTATAATAACGCGCAATCAATCCAGATGACAAGCAACAAAGTCAAGCTCTTTTGCATTCTTGATGGCGATTCTTCAGCATTTGAAGTCAAACTGGACGCCGACGATTCAATCGCTGCTCTCAAGAAGGCAATCAAAAAGGAGAAGGAACCCGAGTTTGACGATATTGCAGCCGATAAGCTCAATCTCTGGCTTGTCTCACTCCCTTCTGCACCCAAAAGACAAATCGCGCTTAACAATCTGACCGCCAATGAAGAGTCAAGGAAGAAGCCAGAGGAACTTGAAGACTCAACATGCGAGATTTCTGACGTCTTTGGAGCAGCGCCACCCAAGAAAACCATTCACATCATTGTTCAGCGGCCATTGGCAGGTAAGAATTATTTAATCAAGATTGATTGAGTCATGTTTGAAATTATAACGCGACAAGATTAATACTTTTTTCATGGATTGGTAATGATTATAGTGATGGCGCGTCTAATTGCCTTATTTCTTTTTTTTTTAATTAAAAAAAAAAGGGGCACATAGCCTTCCCGCTGTTCAAGCGCCGCAGTCAAGCCGCTTATCTCTGTCCCCTCCTCCCTCAAGGCCAACCTCACCATCTCGTAAGTACACGGCGGATGAATTAGAAATAACCTGCTGATTCATCGGAATGCTAATTGGATAATTAATTTAATTAATTTTGTAGAAGATCTGGAGACAACAATCAAAAAGATCACCGCTAGCTTTTTCGCCAGCGACTCTCCAGCGGTTGTCTTTTTAAATGAATACGTCAAAGGCACAAGAATGCCTCCACTTACAACAGAAGTCATAACTGGATTACCAAGAGTCTGGAGAAGAGGAAAAACAACAGCGCCTGATTCACGCCCGAATTTCTTATTCCTGGATCTCCCAACTCCTTCCACTGAGAATATACCCGAACGATTCAAATCAAACGTCATACTTCAGGAGTTGGAAAGGACTGAATCACAAGATGTACCAGTCTTTGGGGTGTCTGTAAGTCATAAGCATGATAGGTCGCAGTAGAGATTGGCTTGTTATTTGTTAATATTCTAATATGTGACTTGATTTATGATTGATTGTAGGGGTGTGGCAAGACTCGATCAGTAGTAGAGATGCTCTGTCTACAGTGGGGTTTCTATTTTAACGCATCGGACAAGGACCTTGGCAGTGACGATCTCTCCTACTTGGCAACCTCGATCCTTGTGAAGACGCGCGATGGACTAGGCCGAAAACACAATACGGATTTCGCAAGAAACATGACGCTCTTGCTCTTTCTCTCCCGTCTGATGATCCTCAATTATTGCTTATCGATACCGGGTTGCGAAAGGACATTTTCTAGTTCCAGATGGGCTATCCTTCAAGTATGTCCAACCATGTTCGAAGATGTGTTCATGTCGCTCTTCAAGATCCTCTTCGGGAGACTGCAAGAGCATACCATTTCCGAGTTATCTCTGACGGCTGTTGTCAGTGAAGAGCTCTTGTCAGTACGGAGTCACCTCGCTTCCCTTAGCTACCCTAATTTTACAAAAAAGTCCAAGCTACGGCTTGTTGTAGACGAGGCACAGATTCTAGGCGATCAAGGCTATAATTTGTTCGAGTCATCATATGTAGAATCGGAGCTTAGACCGCTACTTTCACCTGTTCTACATGGATTCAGAAGACCAGGAGATCGAGGAGAACTTACAATCATCTATTGCGGCACAGGACTGAGCATCAGAACTCTCCATTGGGCACAGTCTTCAGGCGATGGTGTGAAAGAAGAGGGGTCAATGACATTTCCGTAAGTCCTTATTGAATTTTTTTGAATCTTTGAACTTTCAACTTTTCTTTTACTACTTTATTTCTAACATAATTAACGTCATCACCCACATGTAGTTATTTGGAATTCCCTGGGTGGACCAGTCAAACATCAGTTCAGTCATTTATTGATCGCGTAAAAGATCAACTACCGAATGACGAATCGAAAAATGCGGTGGATGCCTTACTCCCAGAAGAAGCAGTCAGCGCGTTATATCAAAGGCTTGGAGGAAGATTTAGACCCATATGCACGTAAGGCTCTGTATTATTTGTTTTAGACACCGCACCAATTTGCATCTCATCTTTGTTTCTAACACAGAGCGTAAGGAACACTGTGATGTGGAGCATTTATTCGTGCAAGGAGGCAATGTTCCTCCATGGGGTGAATTTGTGTACTTGAATCATTATTACAACTCTAAGCCAATGTGCTTGAGATGACTAACTTATCCATGTATTGTGATAGGGCCATCGAAGGAATAATCAGGACAGGCAACCCAAACAAATGGGAGAGCATTATTGATGATACTGAATCAATGTTAACATCATGGAAGGAAAAAGAACGTCGAGGAAATCTCATTAGTGAACTTTTAAGTACGCGCGAATAGTGTTTTTTTTTTTTATTTTTTTTTTATTTTTTTTTTATTTCGCTCCAGATGACTTGCATGATCAATCATCAAAATATATTAACGCTTATTCCACAAATTAGGGGTCCAATCAAAGATCGCCAAACACCAAGAACAATTCAAATCATGCTCAAATATAGAGGAGACGCTTGAATTATTCCTCTTCCGTTGGTATCTACTTGGAGAGACTGAGTTTATTCTAGAGGATGATGCGCAGCTAGTCGAAGCTGCATTTGGCCGCATAAGGATTCTTGGAAACAAGGCAATAACTACTTTGGATGAGCCTTTCGTGCTACGGTATGTGCCTTTATTAAAATTGTGGTATTTTTAACTTTTTTATTTTATTTTTAAAAAGCACCCTTACTCACTAATATTGAATATTACTCACCTCTAGCGCAGCCAAAAACTACTTCATGGAAAAGGACCCTTTATTCATTAAAGCCGCGGAGCGAGCAATGATAACATCGACCAACGCCTCAGTACATGGGACAATGTGGGAGACATGTATGCCGCCAGTTTTCATTGAGACATTCAGAGCTATGCCTTTGTCTAAGTGGCCATTACCAAGTGGCAACAGTATTCCCGAGGAACTAAGAGGAGATGTGACGATTGTAGGATACAATAAACAGGAACAACTTGCAATCACATACCATGACATCTCGACTCATGGCTTTATGGAAGCACATGTTAATGGCAACTCAATGCGAGGAGACAAGAGTATTCCTCCGTTTTATTTCCCATCCCCTCGCGTGTCAGGCCCGGATATCATTTTCATTGTTAGTGTCAACGGAAAGAAGATTCCAATATTTGTCCAGGTATACAGCATGTTTTTTGTTTTGTTTTTTTCTTTCTATAAGATATCTCCACCATCATATTCGTTCGCTTAACTTTTTTATTATGATTTTTTATCCAACTCCAGTTGAAATTACGCGTACGTCTTCCACTTGTTGATGCAGAAGCTGCACTTGCCACTACCAGCGATGAATATATGCAAGAAAAGATAAATAAGGAACACCAAAAGGAACAAATATCTAAAAAAGGAACGGCTGCATCTGAGCCTCCTAGCCTGCAAGATTTATGTCCCTCAGGCGTTTACATCAGTATGATCATAGCGTATCCCGCAGAAGTAATTCGCTTCCAACGTCCCGATCCAGATCCCGAGCTTGGTTCTAATCCCTCACAAGGACTAAAAAGAGTCGTCATTAATGTGGATGACAGCAACTTTGGAGCCATTTTCCCAGCAAGACATGTCAGGTTTCTTGACAAACTAAAGAAATTCAAAAGAAGAGCAGAGGTTGATGAAGAACCAAGTCCATCTAAAAAAGCACACCTCAGAAAGTCTAATACAAATGACTTGTAATTACCACAAAGAAAAAACAACAAGCAATGTATAGCCAACATTTAGAACAAGACATGTATGAACAGTTTGCTTTATCATGAATTGAATGTATCAAGACTCTGTGGAACAATTTTCAGCATCAACAAAATAGAGCAGTCTTTTTATTTGACAGAAGCGATCCATCATTTTTATTTTTTTCCAGTAAGCGAGCAGCAATTAGTCAGCCACTTGTCATTTTTTAAGCAATGAGAGTGTTTCTATATAATAATAGGAGAGGTCTTGTATTTAAGAATGAGAGAGCAGACTTTAAGTTTAATATAATAGTAAAAAGAAGTTCGTTTGGTATTTTGCCACCAGCGACTATGATTTTATGCAGGGGGTTTATTTGAAAGACAACAAGGTCCACAACGACTCTCAATTATTGTCACAACTCCAATTAGCGACCATACTAGCCACAATCATTAGATGTCTGTCTTGTTAGCCACAATTTAATTCAGCCTCAAAAGAAACCAAATTCTTTTTATATATTAGTTAGATCGAACATCTTTCTCATTCATGTGGGTTTCGAACTTCTTTCATCAAGGCCATCGATTTCATCTCTGCGAAGATTTTTTATTAAGCGACAAATTCGGCCATCTATTTTTGAATACTGTTCCCCTGGGGAAATTATTAATATTCGCCAAACCTCTTCCAGCCTACTATTCAACGAAAGATAAACCACTATTTCACCAGGACGCGATTTCTCGGAAAATACCATCAACTCTGTCTACATGGCATCGTGCTTTTATCGGCTTTGTTCGGCTTCAGTCGATGGAGAAGGCCGTCAAAAATTATTATTTCAAGAACAAAGCCAGCGAGATTCACCTCAGCGCTCATTTTCACTATAACACACTAAAAACTTGCGTTACGTTTGTTCTTTACAATAAAGCCATCAATTCGAATAATAAATATAATTTGGCACACAAAAATGATTTGCTTTTTGTATTTTACTTTATTGCAAAAAGTGCTCTCAAAAATGGTGGCAGTATGGTGTGGACAGAAAGTGCTGCGCATAGAAAATCTATATACAGCGTTTTTAATTGTTTTATCCATTTTAAAATAAACTTTATCGGTTTTTTTTTAAAATTGTTCCAATGAATAAAAAAATTTATCCAAAGGTAAGTTAAAAAAACGCTGTATTAAAGCAGGTAGAAAAATTATGTGACTGCGAAATTATGTGACAACTTTTGGAGCATCATAAATGAACAAAACATAAATAAGCAACAGCTTGGAGCATTCACTCATCCATGGGTAAGCAAGAATCTGTGGGTGGCAAGAGTCTCATTTAATTGGAGAATGGGGCATCCAGTGTAGAGTGATTGGATTTCGGTTGTTTTTTTACGGATAGAGTCAAAATGTGATTCGCTGTCCCTTAATTAAATTTATTTTGCCCATGTGACACGACCCTTATTTTGAAACTTTAAATCAGCATGCAAAAAAAGTATCGCTTCGCGTCTACGATGCACTGTAGATTTAAAATAAACCTGTTCGCTTTGTTTTACAATCTTAATCCCTCAACGCACCTATATTTCTGAATCCTTGCTTTCATTTTCCTCAGACCTTTGTTTTTATTGCTTTCGTCTATTTTATCTGCTAAAAAAAAAAAAAAAAAAAAAATGCCTGCCAAACGTTTTACACGTTCGTCGTCGTTGGCTGCCACACGTTCCACACGTTCGTCATCAGCTGCACCTCCCAAAAGCCAGTTGCCCACCAAGTGCCCTCGCTCTATTTATGGTGACTCGAACCACTCGAAAGCCGTTCCTCCGTCGGACAGCTCCACTTCAGGCGTACGATGCATCATCCGAGCACGACGATCTCGACGGGCTGTACCACGTATCATCCGAGCACAGCCTGTGGAGGTAAGAGAGGAGTTACCAGGCCGGCAAGCAGAGGATGTGGAGAATGAAGAGAAGCTATATGACATGATATATGACTGCATTGACGAGTGCGCCCTATTTGAATTCCTTGAACAAGAGAGAGAAGGGGAAAAAAAAGAACAGAAAGAAAGAAGACGTAAAGAAGAGGCAATGAGAGCTGAGCTTGCAGTCAGGCTTGGCTGTGTTGTTTGCATGAACACAGGTTGTTCTTCTCAGAGCAGCTGTGTTTGTCCTACTCAAGAAGATTATAACTTAGAGCTCTCCCGGTCGCAGGAAACATTGGTCCCTTCGGCTACACCAAACTTATACCATCAAGTTGCTTCTAAGTAAATGTCCAAATAATGAAGGGTGAGCTCCATTTTGATGCTTCGATATGTAATCCTTAGCAATGCATTTTTTTTTTCAATCCTAAATTGCCATTTCTTTTGCAATGTTATCTTTAGTGACCCCATGCAGAATCGAACCGAGCCTGTGACGACTCGCAGACGAAGCATTAGCCTTGATGGCCCAGGTGAAAGCGAAAGACCTGAGCGAAGACGAAGGTGAGCTACTCTTGGTTCACATTTTATTGAATTTATAAACTACCACGTATTGCGTTTCTAATCTAACATCATTATCATTGCTCTCTAGGCTACAGTCACCCTGTCGGCCTGTGCAACGGCAGTGCAGTATATGCAGTCGCCCAGGACATAACCGAAACACATGCCCCGATAAAGAGTAAGTCCGACCTCCCCTTATTATTATTTTAGTGTAAAAAAATATTGTGATAAGTGAAAAAGTGAAAAAGCCCATATAAAATATTAATAAAAATTTGTGATTCTATATTCCAATAGTATGGATACTATCCCCACCGCTAGAAGGAGGTTCCAACAAGAATTAATCTCAGGCCCCAATATCGAGCGCCATAGACACCGCTTAGAGCAGATGGTCCGGTGCCCTTATTGCAATGCTATCATGTTCCTTGAAGAACGAGTGAAAAACACCAAGCACCGACCAGAATTTTCCTTGTGCTGCGATAGAGGTCAAGTCAAAATCCCTCATCTGGAGGGTATTCCGCGCCGCTTTTTAGAGGTCTTTGGTGGCCAAGACGCGAGAAGCAAAGCCATTCGAAATAATGCACGGCAATACAACTGTGCTCTGTCCTTTACGTCGATGAAAGTAAACCATGCCAGGAGCCTTGCAAACAGCCAACAAGGCGTGTACACTTTCCGTATTATCGGAGGTATCGCTCACCTGATTGGCCCTCTGAGCCCGTCTGAAGGTGTAGATCCTCAGTTTTTACAGATCCACAGCCATATTCATGACCCTGAAGAGCAGGCCAAAATTCGCAATGGGTACTTTGAAGGTTCTCTCGACAACAGTTTGTTAATTGAGCTACAACAGCTTCTCGAACGACATCACCCGATGGCCCGTTTACTCAAGAACATTAAATAGCGTGTCAATGGTCAAGATACTCAGTTAAGGGTCGTCATCCGTGCTGAGTCCCAACGTGACCTAAGGAGCCAAGGACGGAGACAATATGGTCCCCCTTCGTCCTCTGAAATCGCTGTTTTGATGCCTGGTGATGATAGCCAAGTTTCAAGAAGGGATATAGTTATTGAATACAAAGGGGGCGGTTTACAGCAGATCAGCGAGACTCATCCGTCATACGACAGCCTTCACTACGTTCTCTTGCATCCGAATGGTGAGTGTGGGTGGACATACGGCAAGTATAAGAAGGAAAGCGGGTCAGAGCTAGGCTCTGAAAGGTCTCTTGGAGAAAGCGATGGTGAGGATGTTGAGGATGACCAGATGGAACCTCATGAGAGCCGGACGAAAAAAACCCGAGAGTTCGTCAGCCAAAGGGAGTTCTATGCATATAGACTGCAAATCCGCCCAATCAGCTCAACAGATCAACGATCCTACATTTGGATGATTCCACGTTTGGCTCACCAATATATTGTCGACCAATATTACAAGTTGGAAACTTCTCGGCTCCTATATATCAGTATGAATCAAGCTAAGCTCAAAGCGGATGCATATATCGGCATAGTAGATGCAATTGACCTCAATCTCAGGCCAGAGAATATTGGAAAGCGGATTATCTTACCATCTTCCTTTGTTGGAGGCCCCAGATTTATGCAACAGTTGTTCCAAGATGCCATTGCCATGGTTCGGAAGTTTGGCAAGCCAGATCTCTTCATCACCTTCACATGTAATCCCCAGTGGCCAGAGATCCAGGAGGCTCTTTATGAAGGCCAAACAGCAGCTGATTGGCCTGACCTTTGCGTACGAGTATTTAATCTCAAAAAGAAGGCTCTAGAGGATGACCTCTTCAAGAAAGATGTCCTAGGGAAAGTTATTGCTTACAATTGGGTCGTCGAGTTCCAGAAACGTGGTTTGCCGCATCAGCATCTCCTCATAATTCTTGACGATGGAAGCAAGCCTCGGACTGCAGACGACATTGACTCTATTGTGTCTGCAGAGATCCCCGATCGACACAGTGCCCCGCTTGCGTACGAGCCAGTAACTTCCCACATGGTACATGGGCCATGTGGGGTCCATAATTCTAAAGCGCCATGCATGGTGGAAGGGAGCTGCAGCAAAAAGTACCCACGCTCATTTTTGGGAAATACTGCAAGAAGCGAGGATGGCTACCCGAACTATCGTCGACGTAATGATCCTGCACGCTCCTTTGTAAACTCAAAAGGCAACACTGTCGACAACACTTGGGTTGTTCCTCACAATTTATGGCTTACAACCAAATATAACGCTCATATTAACGTTGAAGTCTGTGGATCAGTGTCATCAGTCAAGTATATTTACAAATACGTGCACAAGGGTCATGATAGAGCATCAGTTGCTGTCGTGGCTGGCAGCGGATGGAGGAAATGTTAATCTCGATGAGGTCAGCAAATACAGGGATAGCCGATATGTATCTACTTGCGAGAGCTTATGGCGTATGTATGGCTTTGCGCTCCATGGGCAATCCCATAATGTTGTTCGACTGCCTGTCCATCTGGAGGATCAGCAGCAAGTGGTCTTCGGTCCTGATGCTAACCTCGAGCGAGTCATCTCCTGTGCCCAAGACTCGCAGCTCATGGCATGGTTCAAGCTCAATAGTGCCATTGAGAAAGAAATTTCGAGGGCAGAAGCAACAAATGCAGATGATGATCAACTGTAGTCTCTCTGACCCACTGGCTCTTTGGACTCGCTTTGCAAGGGACCTGTCAGA